TGAACAAGGGCCACATATTATACACATAACTATTATACCAGTCCCTTGCTAACTAGGTTCTTGCTTGATAATAGAACTGGGGTGTGTGGCACAGTGAAGGCAAAACAAAGAGAAATGCCAGTGTTTCCAGGTGCTATGCAGGTTGGTGATTGCGAGCTCAGGAAAACAGGTGGAATACTTTCAGTGCGGTGGAAAGACAGGCGTGAAGTGACCATGTTGACCACCATTCACGCTGGAACAATGCTGGACAGTGGCAAGGTGAACAGAACCACAAGAGAAATAATCTATAAGCCAGATTGTGTCTTGGACTATAACATCAACATGCGTTTGGTGGATAAATGTAATATGATGGTGGGGGCAGTAGAGTGTGTACGGAAAACAGTGAAGTAGACCAAGAAAATGTTTTTCCACCTTGTTGACGTAACAATGCTGAACAGTTGCAGTATGTATCTTGTCAAATCATCCCATCACCAACACAAATGTTTGAAGGAGGGCATGAGAATGAATTTAGGGATATACCTATAACATGTGACATAATCAGGAAGAACATTGACAAACTAAAAGACTCAAAAGCCTCAGGTGTGGATGGAATCTAATCCAGTGTTAAAGGAACTGGCTAAAGAACTATGCCTACCATTGAAACTACTTTTCACAAAATCTCTGGACCAAGGGGTAGTCTCCCTAAATTGGAAATATGTAAATGTCACCCTTATTTTAAAAGAGGCAGAAAGAGCTCAGCAGAAAACTACCAGCCGATTAGCTTGACATCACACATCTGCAAGCTCATTGAGAGAATCTTCAGGGAGGAAATCAGTCACCCTCTTTCAGTGAAGAACCTTGTACAATCGGCACAACATGGGTTACTTAAAAACAGGTCTTGTCTTACAAACTTGCTCACATTTTTGGAAATGGTAACCAGCTACTCAGACACAAGCCTTCTGGTGGATGTGGTACACATGGATTTTGCTAAAGCCTTTGATAAGGTACCACATGATAGACTAGCAAGGAAATTACAGGCACATGGAATAAATGGTAAAATATTAGAATGGATAACATAATGGTTGAGGGAAAGAAAACAAAGGGTCGTGCTAAATGGGAATGAATCAGAATGGAGAAATGGGAAAAGTGGGGTACCACAGGGATCCATTTTGGGGCCAACCCTTTTTGTCATGTACATCAATGGCATGGACGACAACATTACAAACCACATCATCAAATTTGCAGATGACACCGATTTATGGTACAGTTGGAAATGATAATGATATTGAAGCCTTACAAAGGGATTTACCTGAACTCCACAAATGGTCAGATGACTGGCAAAAGCTTTTTAATATCAACAAATGCAAGACCATGCATGAGGGGCATAACACTCCATGCCACAATTATCAAATTAATAGCATTACATTACAGCACATTGATGAAGAAAAGGACCTTGAAGTCAAAACCCACCACTCTCTAAAAGTTGCATAACAGGTGGGAGCAGCAGACAGAAAAGCTAACCAAACCATTGGAATAATCAAGTGTACTTTTGACTGAACCACTTTGCTCCGTCAACCAAGAAAACTCGGTCGTTAGGAAACTGCACCAACTGAGAAAACACCTTTTGAATGTTTTGTATTCATTCAAAATGCGTGCGTGGCAGGTTGTGTATGAAATGAATTCTTGAGACCTCCAGTGAGGGGCAGCCATCTTGGAAAAAATTCCCAGAATGTCCAAGGGCTGCTGGCTGGGTTAGTACTGAGTGAGCAAACATGGGTGGTGCACGCGCCTCTGGCTCCCAAACACCTATCCGACGCGGTGTTGAAAGATCGCTCTCTGTTGGTGAAATTCAGGCCTTATTGTTTGAAGAACATAAGGGTCATGATATTGATGAAGCTAGGTGCAATAAGGACCTAACACTAAAGGTCGGATGCAAGTGATACAGCAGCGATAAAGAGGATACAGCAAGAGTATCCAGTTGTAGCTCTGAGCGCCACCCTTGCCCACCCATGCCATCTCCAATTTTTATAGATGATACATAGATGAATCGCTTTCTGGGTTCAGTGATGATGCATCTGATACAAGTAGCATAGATGAACAGTGTTAGCGGCATATATAGTGGTGTTTTCCACAGATATTTTCAAGAATAGCTGAATCTCTTCCAGAATGACTGAATCTCTTCCAGCGAGGGACCTTACAAAGTGATCTTTTCAAGACTACCTTACAAAGCAAACTTTTCAAGACTACCTCACAAATTAATCCTTTCCTATAATCTTTTTAAGACTATCTTACGCTTTACAAGCTTGGCTACATATCACCTACAGGTACTAAAGCCAAGGGCGTACGTGAGTGCGCTATTTGCAAGCGCACAGAATGAAGAAACAGGAAGCGAAAATCTATCTGTACCTGCTGCAACAAGAGCGAAGTCGCGCTGTGTACCATGTTCTGCTTCATTGATTATCACTCACTTCCGAAGTACTGAGCATGTAATACAGTGTGTTATTGTGTAAATAGTCTGTGAAACTGTTCATATTGTAATTTTAGTGAATTTTGAACAAGTAATATTGCAACAATAAACAATAAAGTGTTCACAACCGAGCCTGAGAAGCTCCCATTGTTAGAAGAGGAGATGAGCCAAGATGAGAGACTAACGGATATAGAAGTGACAGCAGAGGAGGTAATGAAACTGGGCAACAACAACATACTAGATAAAACTAAAGCAGTTGGACCAGACAATGTATCACCATGGATACTAAAAGAGGCAACGCAGGCCATCAGTGTGCCTCTAACAAGAATCTATAATGAGTCACTTATGAAGGGAGAGTTGCCAAGTTGCTGGAAGAACACTTAACTACAGACCAGTATCACTGACAAGCATTCCCTGTAAAGTACAGTACTTAAAAGAATAATCAGGTTAAGACTGGTTACTTACCTAGAGAACATTAGGTATGTAAACAAACACCAACATGGATTCAGAAAAAGAAATCATGACTAACAAACCTTCTGAAAGTCTATTATAAAGTAACAAGAATAAGGCAGGACAGAGAAGGATGGACAGACTGCATATTTCTTAACTGCCAAAAAGCCTTTTACACAGTACCGCACAAGAGACTGCTATTCAAACTTGAAAGGCTTACTTTCAAGCAGGAGCCAGAGAGTAACAAACAGGGGGCAAGAAGTCAGACTGGTGAATTGTAATGAGTGGAGTACCTCAAGAATCAATGCTGGGACCGGTTCTATTTCTAATATACGTGAACGACATGTTAACAGGAGTCGAGTCCTATATGTCAATGTTCGCGGATGATGCGAAATTAATGAGACGAGTTGTGACATGAGAATTGTAAGATACTCCAAGAGGACTTGACCAAGCTGTAGATATGGTCAAAGAAATGGATACTGGAGTTCAACTTGAGCAAATGTAAAGTTATGAAAAGGGGACTAGGTGACAGGAGACCAAATGGTCAGTACACAATGAAGGGAAACTATCTTTCTGTGATGATTCAAGAAAGGGACATGGGAGTGGACGTAACACCAAATCTAACTCCTGAGGCACATATAAATTGGATAACAACAGCAGCGTACTCTACGCTTGCAAAAGTTAGAAAGTCACTGAGAAACCTAATAAGAAGGCATTCAGAGCACTTTACACTGCCTACATGAGATCAGTCTTTGAGTATGCAGCCCCATCATGGAGCTCCCACCCAAAGAAACACATCAGGAAACTGGAAAAATTCAGAAATTTGTGAAAAGACTAGTCCTGGAGTTGCATGGGATAGGATATGAACCTGATGACGTTATAAAAAAAGGAGGGAGCGGGAAGATATGATAGCAGCATACAAAATACTTAGGCAGATTGACAGATTGGAAATAGACAAAATGTTCACATGGAATACCAGCAGAACAAGGAAACATGGGTGGAAGCTGGAAACTCAGATGAGTCATAGAGAAGTTAGAAAGTTTTTAGCGTGAGAGTAGTGGGTAAATGGAATGAACTAAAGGAGCACATTGTGGAAGCAAACACTATTCATAGCTTTAAAACTAGGTATGATAGAGAAGAAGGACAGGAAGCATTGCTTTAAACAACCGAAGGCTGGAAAGCAGGATCCAAGAGCCAATGCTCGATCCTACGGGCACAAATAGGTTCGGTGAGTACAGTGGATCACCTAACCAACTACTGTAACTACAACTCACCCTAACTACTGGACCTCATACAAGAACTGAAGCACATACACTACCCAGGGCAGACCTTTTTCAAGGAAAAAACCTTCGAAACCTTCTCAAGGGAAGGTAACCCTGACAGGTACAATGCCAGCGACAATCATAAAATACAACCCTGACCACACGCAGCCAAGGTGAACAAGTGATCAAGGTGCACACAACAAATCGGAATAAACAATTCTGCATGTGAAGCCCCCTGCCCCCCCCCTCTCCCAAAAGGATGGGAGGGGAGGGGGGAGCAGGGATGGATGGGCATCACTTAACTAAAAAGCTGGTGCCTGCAGAGGTGGGAAGAACCAGGAGGACCTGTGTATTGGCACAAAAGGTGAGCAAATGACTGGGCTAGCTACCTTGGACCCCTGGGATGTTGGGCTACCATTTGTAAGTGAGGATATGGAGCTAACTAGAAGTTGGATCTGAATGTGTACATAGTTCAAATCAGATTTGCAAATGTTGTCCAAGCAATTCTTTGTTTTGTCACACACTACCTTTCTGGTGGTTTTCCAATTATTTACTGTACCCCCAGACTTCCCTTGCTCGGTTCAGGGACGGACCAGATTTTAGTGTTGGACTGTTCCATTTGCTCGTGATTTAAGAGAGCCTGGTGTGGTGCTGGGATCTGGAAGACTCCATATGGGTAGGTTAAGAGGACCCATCAGAAAACAATATGTATAATGGAACATATGTTCATTATAATAAAACAAATTTAGCTGCCATACTTTCAGTTTCTACATAAATTAAGTAGCAGTAATTCAACCTGCCAGCAGGCCACACGGAGCTTATTACAAGAGTATATACCCTACCTGAGCAAGTGTGATGGGCAACTCCTTAGCTGGTGTATATGTGGGAGACCTTGGCTTGTGAGAATGAGGCCTTCGCTGACATAGGACACGGGTCACCATCACAAACACAATACAGTTCATCAGAAGCACACAACAGATGGGGCCTTTGAAAGAACAAACATCATTATTACTGTTTAAAAGAAATAATTTGTACTAAATACAGGTATTTACTGATGCTTTAACACTTAAACTGCACAAGTGTTAAAACTGAGTAACTTCCGCAAAATTGCGCAACACGTCATATGACATGTTGGAGTACTACGCAAGATTTAAATGACCCGCGGATACACGGGCTTCACCTCACCTTCATCAGGGCTCTTGTAAACAGACGCCATTAAAAAAAAATCGTAGGCCACATTCCCGGGAGTGAGGGGCCTCAGTACTGAGTGAGCCCCAAGGCTGGCGCACGCAGCATGAGCTCACAACACTGCTGTTCAGCTTGTGACCACAGCACTGCCTAAAAATGCCATAATATATATTTACATGCTTTTATTTAGCGATGATAGTATTACAGAAGACCCCTGACTGTGATAAAAATGACCAGGATTCTGATAATAGCAGAATTGTTGTGATAATTAGCGCTGTAATGGGGGGGGGGAGTAATCTTGGTGGGGAGGGAGGTAGCGTTATCTGCTGACTCTGTGTGACCACGTTTTACTGTCTGGACTCACTATACCAGCTTAGTGGTGCACTATGGTGAACGAAACATGCAGCTACTTATATATAACGTCTGTATATATTGAATAAAACCAAAAACAGTATGGTGGGAGGAGAATGGTAGCGAGTCAGGTGAGGTGAGGGAGGGAGGAAGTGACAGCCAGTGGGGGGCCACCATTGCCACTCAGCATACCAACTTAGTGGTTCTGTAACGCACGATTATATTACGTTGTTGGGTGATTAGATACACAGTGTTTAGTGAGTTTCCTATTTATTTAGTAGTCTTGGTTATAGTAGTCAGTCGTTGGTATTGTTGTAGATGTTAAGACAGAGCTTGGAGCAGAGCAGAGAGCTGAGTGAGGGCCGGAGTCGCAGAGTTCTATGAGGGAGAGCGTGGCGGCTCGATTGGGAATCGTGTCTAAACTCGATGAGGAGTGAGAGCGTTGTAGCTCAATGTGGTCGTAGTCTGCTGTCTGCTCTGTGCCAAAGCTGTAGTGTCTTGGGGTCGATTAAAACTGTACACACTGAGTGCTACATTCTTGTGCTTGAAGAGGTGAGGTACATCCAAAGCATCTGGACTGGAGTTATCTGACTCACTGTGGAAATTGTACTGTCGGCTATTCACTTTTTGCTTGCTTACATTCGGTGACTACACCTCAGCTTCCTAAAACCAGGATGGAAATAACGTTACTTGTAATTAGGGAAAGGATTCCCTAAATCCCTAAAAGGATTCCCTAAAAGGGAAAGGATCTTCTGTAATTAGTGCTAATTAGTTATGCCATTAAGCTAATGAGAGGCTGTAGTGAGTATATTGTTTGTACTCGCTACAGTTTGTTATGATGAACACAAATGTAGATACTTATATATAACGTATATATATAGTGTAATAACAGCAAGAGGAGAGTGGGGAGAAGCATTTTGGTGAGGGAGGTGACGACATCTGCATGATTTGTCATGCTGGGTAGGGGTGGCCACTATGATCTTTGGACATTATACCAGCTTAGATGAACAGTTATGGTGAACAGAACATGTAAATACTTATATATAATGTCTGTATATAGTGAATAAAAGCAAAAACAGTATGGTGGGAGGAGGATGTGGGCGAGTAAGGAGTCATTGAGGGAGGGAATGGCAGCGAGAGGCTGACTGGCAGATGTGGTGGCCACTCCTCGTTGCTTTTTGACTCACAATATCAACTTAGTGGTTCGTTATGGTGAACAAAACATGCAGATATTTATATATAACCTGTATATATAGTGTAATAACCGACAAAGTATTTGTTTATTGTTTTATGAACTCAATAATTGAATCAATAATATGCACACCATAATTTTGAGTACAGTGATGATTCACACATTTTATTATATAAATATATCATACTACACACTATCAAATAATATTACAGCAAAAAACAGAGAAAAATCAATCAGACACATTGAAATAATTAGGTAATTATATCTTTGTGGCCACTCCTGCCTGACAGCTGGAGCTGAGCAAACCGCCTCGGACGCATGCTGAGTCAGCGCCTGTTTTTTGCCAGACTTCCCCGCCCTATAGTGGGCAAAATATGCCACTTACGATTTTCTTATTATTTTTCCCGGGATCAGGGAACACAAATTAACAGGTTAACCCTTAGACCGTGCAATACATATATAGATGATGTGAGTAACATTACTGATACCGCGCAATACATTAACCCTTTAACTGCGCAACGCGCCTGCAGGCCCAAGTCTGGGGTGCGCAACGCGCCTCCGGGTATTTGTATTTTTCACGTTCCTTTCAAACTCCCGCAGCTACATGGGGTTCACATCAGCTTCCTCTGGGCTCTTGTAAACAGACGCCATCTTTAAAAAAAATCGTGGTCCACATTCCCGGGTGTGGGATCCTCAGTAGTGTGTGAGCAACTAAGGCTGGCGAACGCAGTATGAGCGCACAGTACTGCTGTTCAGCATGTGACCACAGCATCGCCTAATAATGTCAAAATATATATATAACTTGTATTATTTAGCCATGATAGTGTTATAGAAGAGCCTGAGTGTGATAATGACTGTGTACAATGTTCAAATATCAGTGATTCAATGCTGTTTACGATGTTCACAGCGTCCACAACACCACAGCATTATTTCGTTCATCTAGGAATCTTAAACGACTTTTTATGTTCCTTTTCAAAATAAACTTGTTATAAATTATACATTTACAGGAATTAGTGACCAGGATTGTGGTTATAATTAACGTTATGCGTAGTATTGTGGAAGGAGAAAATTTGGTGAGGGAGAGAATTGAGGTAGCCTCACTGTGTGGCAGCCACTCTTGTTTTGCTCACCACACTAGCTTCGTGGTTGGCTATGGGGAACACCCATGTACATGGGTACATACAGTGTGTGTGTGTATAGTGTAATAACCACATCAGGAGTATGCTGAGAGGAGCTATTTTGGTGAGGGAAGTGACGTCGTAATCGTAGCGTCATCTGCTGTCTGCTGTGTGATTTCTCACGCAGTGTATGGTGGCCACTGTACTGTTTGGAGACAATACTGGCTTACTTGCATAGTTCTGGTAAATAAAACATGTAGATAGGTATATATAACATGTGTAAATAGTGTAATAAAAACAATAACAGTATGGTGGGAGGAGGAATGTTGGCGAGTAAAATGTTGGGAGTGAGGGAGGGCTGGCTGGGTGTGGCTGCTCACACTCGCGGTGTTCTGAGTGTGTTGATGGTGAATGTATATAGTGTGTGACAGTGTATAGTTTGTAAATATGTTGTAAATATACATAAATGAACATGAAACATTGGTGTGAATAACTATAAGTGGGAGGAGCAATGTTGGCGAATACAATGTTGGTGGTGTGAGGGAGGGCTGGCTGGGTGTGGCTACTCACACTCGCGGTGTTCTGAGTGTGTTGATGGTGAATGTATATAGTGTGTGACAGTGTATAGTTTGTAAATAGATTGTATATATACATAAATTAGCATGATACATGGTAAATATGTGCAACGTATGTGTACACAAGTGTCATGCACGTAACACAGTGTCCTTGGACAGTACGGATGTTTTACTGCCATAATATAGTGTACGTGTTCATTATACATAGAATTAGCACGTAAAAAAAATTAAATGTATTTGGAACTGTGCGCAAAAAATGAACAAAAATATATTCGTGGCAACTCGCACAGCCCTGCCCCTGGCGCCCTACTGGCCCCGGGAGCATACGTCTTGGGCGAACAGGGAATGATGACATCACGTGCCAACTTACGAACCCCATAGCAGCCAAAGTAAGTACAAGTTCAAATTTTTTTGACATACCCATACTGAGGGAAGGGTTTTTGACACTTTAAAAAACAAAAGAATTTTTTCAAGTTATTTTATTTCCTGTGCACTGGGGGGGGGGGGGGGTGTTATTTTTATAGGCCGTGCAGTTAAAGGGTTAATAGCTGTTTTAGTGTCCAGCGCTTTAATTTAAATGCCCCGCGAGTGATAGGGGCACCTATAGTGCAGCCACGACCGATAGTTGACAGACACCACTTAGAAAAAAAATCGTGACCAACATTCCTGGGTGTGAGAGCCTCAGTACTGAGTAAGCCACCAAGGCTGACGCACGCAGCATGAGCGCACAGCACTGCTGTTCAGCTTGTGACCACAGCATCACCTAAAAATGTCAAAATATATAGGTACATGCTAATATTTATCAATGATAGTATTACAAAAAACCCCTGACTGAGATAAAACTGACCAGGATTCTAATAATAGCAGGATTGTGGTGATATTTAGCACTGTGCTCCATGGTGGGAGGAGTAATGCTGAGGGAGGGAGGGTGGTGGTGTCGTCTTCTGACTGTGTGTAATTACCTAAGTGTAGTTACAGGATGAGAGCTACACTCGTGGTGTCCCGTCTCCCCAGCACTCTTTGTCATATAATGCTTTGAAATTACTGACAGTTTTGGCCTCTACAACCTTCTCATTTAACTTTAGTTAAGTGTGGCCACCTTTTATTGACTGGATTTACCATACCAGCTTAGTGGTTTGCTATGGTAAACACAAATGTAGATATTTATATATAATGTGAGTATAGAGTGCAATAACCGCAATAGGAGTATGTCAGGAGCTGCCATATTGGTGAGGGAGGTGTGTCATCGGCATGCATATGGTGTTTATTAAAAAAAAATATATATAAAATAAAATGTTTATTCAGGTAAGGTACATACATACAAGAGATTTTACATAATTTGATCGATTTATAGATGGAGCTAGTACATACAATGCCTAAAGCCACTATTACACAAAACGTTTTGGGCAGGAAAAACATTAATGACTAAAACTTAATACTAATTGAGTATAAAGAATAAAAAGTGTTGAGAACAAATAAAAATAAAGATAGAAAAGGGGGAAACATGGCTGAAAATGCAGCACAAATACAATTAGGTCGACAAACAGCGTTTAAGAAAACA